TACAATACCGCTTATTTTGTATACAAAAATGAAAATAGGAAATTTTATCAAAAATATTTTTACTATTAATTCAAAAAACATTTACTTGGATTTTGTTCCCTACTTTGGCATGAAAATAGAAAATGTATTCAAGTGGTTTAAAAGTGAATCACTTTCCAAATTTAACAGTTTAGTATAATTCCAAAATCACAAAGCCCAAAACGACACTCATTGTAAGCTCCTCACGTTCAATCCGTTGTGTCAAACGATTCGTAAAACTCTTTTACCTTTTTTGGTTGGATCTTCGTCATGTTGCAACCGGTCATGTTTCTGTTCGTTTTCCTAATTTTCTTCCATTTGAGGTGCTTGGTGGTTTTCCCTTCAAAATCTTATTTGGGCTTTAATGACACCAATCCAAACACGCAGACAGAGAAGATACGCATTAATGAGCTCCCTCTCGAGCCTATATATACCTCAATGGCTATTACTGATTTTCACCATCTCACAGTTTTCGTACAATACAAAGCCTTTACCTTCCTTCACGTTTGGTCACTCGAATTATACAAATTTTTCACGTTTGTCACCCAAATTATTTTTCTTTCTTATTCGCCACTAACTTTATGAGTCGTTTCACCATTAGTCACCGGCCGTTAAACTCCGTTAAATTTGTCCTACGTGGCAGTCAACTATAAAGTTTGACCATTAACTAGATTACGTGGAAATTTTTAAAAAATAATAAATTAATTTATTTGTCCACCTCATTATTCCACTTACTTTGTGTATATTATTTATTTAATAAAAATTAATTAAATTGCAAAAAAATATGATAAATTTATTCTCCACCAATCAAGATCCGACAGACGAGTGCCGTTGTACGCAGCCGCCGATCTTAGTCCATCCTTGGTGTCATTCATCTTCTTCTACCCTGTCACCAGACCATCCAAACCAGGCGGAGACACAACACTGGACACCCTAAAATCGTCACTCCCTAAGGCTCTCACTCACTTTTACATGTTGGCCGTAAGGTTGTCCAAATCTGCAGCCGACTCGCTTCACATCGTCCGTTGCGACGACGAGGGTTTTCCGTTTTCATCCGTCGAGTACCCGTCCATGTCCATGACTTTGTTTCTCAGCAAGCAACCCCAACTCGACTCACTCCACCAGTTCCTCCCCTTCCCTTCCTTCCTTATCTGCCAACCGTCGGTCATTGAATCGGCACTGCTGATCGCATTCAAGGCCACCATCTTCCTCTGCGGCGGCGGCGGCGCCATCGGGGCTTGTCTCTTGCAAAAGATCGTAGACGCTCACACATTTTTCGATTTCATAACTCTAGGCCGCCGTCGCCAGGGGAGATGAAAAAAGTGTCGGCGGCAGGACGTACGCTCAGATTCTAACAGCCACCTCACTCTATAAACAAATCTCCTTCAAGCCTCGTTCGCTGGCCTTCCTCATTCCCTTTCTCGCTGGCGGCTCTGTTCCCCTCTTCAGCTCCATCTCTGCTCGCTCGGACTCCGTTCCAGCGAGATCTGAAGGTATCTAGACTCCGTACCGGGAAAATAAAAATGTTGGCAGACAAAACCGAACGAGCTACCGCCTACAGTTCTCATTTTTCCTTTTCCCTTTCGCCATTCGTTGAGATTTAGTATGGATGTGGAATTGGAATTTCTCAATTGCTGATTGCTCAGAAGCATCGAGCCAGTTGTGCTCAATCTTGTTGTAAACTATTTGGATAAATAATGTTCTTCAATAATTCCCACCTGACTCTTCTTGATTTTGTTTCCTCGCGTTTCTGTGATTTGGATGGTCCGGTGGCAGGGTAGAAGAAGATGAATGACAGCGAAGATGGACCGAGATCGACGGTTGCTTACACGGCACTCTCGTCCGTCGGATCTTGACGGGTGAAGAATAAATTAATCATATTAATTATTTTTGTAATTTAATTATTTTTTATTAGATAAATAATATGGTAAATAATATACGTAAGTGGAATGATGAGGTGGACAAATAAATTAAATTTTTATTGTTTTTAAATTTTCACGTCATCTAGTTAACGGTCAAATTTTATAGTTGACTGCCACGTAGGACAAATTTAACGGAGTGTAACAGCCGGTGACTAATGGTGAAACTATTCGTAAAGTTAGTGGCGAATAAGAAAGAAAAGTAATTTAGATGGCAAACATGAAAGAATTGCATAATTCGAGTCATCAAATGTGCAATTTAGCCCCTCAACATGACAAAAGTTACCATTTTCCTCGTGCTGGCACTGTTGATATAGACAACTAAGCAGTGTTATTAAAGCCGAGCCAAGCCGCTCGGCCCGACCGGTGAAACCGCCACCCGGTCATAAAACCGGCTCGGAACAGCCTAAAAACCACTCCGATTTTATGTATTGGTTGGCGAGCGGCCGAGGCGGTTAACCGATTGAGCCGCTCGTCCGGTTTTTACCATTCAACCGTTAAATTTAATTAAAAAAAATTGCAAAAAATTGAAAATTAAAATAAACCAAAAGCTTCAGGCTCTCAAACTGAATCCTTATTTCCATTTCACAATTTTGAAGGAAAGAGACGAGCTCTGATTAAGAAATATCCATTATTTATACTGATAACGTTTATTAGGTACTAGTTCTCTAACGGATTTTAACCAGTCTGATGCCGATTGGACCACTAAAGTGCGAGCTATTCGAATTACTGGGTCATGCTAAGGTTTGGTTTTGACAACATTGCAACTAAGCCTCATAAGCCATAAGTGATGAATATTGAATAAAAACTTACAATCAAAATAAGAAGACTGGTGAGGGGAAGAAGAAGAATTATTACTCTAATTTATTATTTGTTGTTTCATTTATTTAGTTTATTATATGTCAATTTGTTTGTACTGTGTATGTTACAAGTGAAGAGGGATCGCTCATCTCATTTTGTTTCTCTCCATTTTTTAATTGTGCTAATCAATTCCTAATATAATGAAGAAAGAAATGTTCATAATAAATCGGTGGTTTTTCTTTATTCATTGAGTTCTATTTTCCTTCGACTACATTCCTAGAGCTAGTTGCATGATTGGATACATGATTATTAATCTAAGCGGTTTAATTATTGGTACTTGGAAGAGGAGCAAAAACAGAGTGGTAGATTGTACTAAACTTAGGGAGCAAATTGTTTAAGCCAAGTTGAGTAATTTGGACTTAACACAATAATGAAGCGAGCTCTAGGTCGCGTTTCATCTCATTGGGTGGATTGGAAACTGGAATAATATAATAACAATTTAAAGAAGGGCGAAATTTGGCTGCAACCCATACAGCAGCCCACCGCTGCAACCTTCCACATGGCGCCCAACCATTGGTTTAATAAACTAATGAATTCTTAAACAATAATTTGATTTTGACGGAACGGGACGGAGAAGATTTGATGGTTTTGGCTGTTTCACCCTTTAGGTTTTATTTTGGATAATTAACAAAAATAGGATGTAAAAATATCCACAACCATGTATATCATCTAACTATGGTAAAATCAGATTCCAAGGAATTTTCAGCCGCCATGAATAACATTTGAATTTGAATATTGTGGTTAATGGGTGGATATGATTCTCTTACTATTCAATTTGAACTCATCTAGAGTAAACAAACAAAATCGAAAACCGCCTCAACCCTCAACCCAACCGACCCACCCGTAATATCCAAGAAAATTCAATTTTATGGGTGAGTGAGGATATGATTTTTGAATATTGTTGCATTGTGGTTGGGTGCGGGTCTTGATGGTTATAACATGAGATTATCCAAACAAACCCGTGATAATATATTATAAATCAAAATCTTATATATTTGATATATTGCTTTAATCACAAATCTCTTAAGTTAATTGTTACACATGTCATTTGTTTACATAGTTATAATTGATAAATGTTTAAGTCAATTATTAATTAAAGTGTTCACACAAGTGAAATATTATTTTAATTATTGTATTTGTCTAGTATGAATGAACATTTTAATATGATATTTTGTTTTGTGATTTCACATAGTGTCATAAATGTATTATTCTTCATATTAAATTATAACTTTATAAATTTTGTTCTCGTATAATGGATTGAATTTTCATCTAACCCGATCCAAAACTTGACTCAAGAAATCTGTAGAGTCTTGAAATTAATGACAGAATTTTGGTTTACCATAATTCAAACCGTAACTCATTGGTTAGATGGTTAAAATGTACGAGTATCACCCAATCGACCCATGTACATCCCTACCCGTTCCATTTATTGCAAACTGATAAGCAGTTTTGTTAGTTACATTCTGAAAATTGGTATGAGTTTGACTAATACATATATACATTGAGACAATAGCGTACAGATTGATAAATACAAAATATTTAGAAAATATTGAATGAAAAAAATAATATAATTGTAGTGTTTGTTTATAAATGTTAGTTACATCTACACATCTACACATAAATATAAGCCACTATCAGTAAAAATTATTTGCCACCTCAACGTCCCCTGCTCAACCAGCATATTTAGGAGGGTTCAATTTGTCAATTCCCTCACTCCATCTCTTCGCCTTAAAACGCTACTGCTATTGTTTCTCTTTCTAATTCCAATTCTTATATTTTTCACATTCCCACTAGCTCCGAGAATATCGGGGCGGCGACACCCTTCCCTTAAGAAGAAACTGGTGTTGCGCTCTCGCCGATGGCTGCGCCTGCGTCAGGGGTAAATCCCCCGGAAGCCGGCAACCTGGAACCTCAACCAGGGGGTCGCCGGTCACCGCTGACAACTTCGTCCCCGAAAGCGAAAGGAGAAAGGGAAACTCAACAACTGAAGAAAAAAGAGAAGCCTATGACGGATAACCATCTGTTTAGCAAAAATGACATGATGGAAGATATGCCCCCCCCCCCCCCACCCGGGAAGCTGGGCAAGATAGTCTGAAGCATAGCAACGAGGAGAACGCTTGGAAGGGTAGTGGACCACGTAAGCTGTTCAATGATCTCCATGCAGAAGATGACTAGTACATAGCAGAATCATACTCAGAAGACATGGCAGTGGCCATGCGCGAAGACGATTTGGACGATGAAGTTCCGGAGGATGATGATCCCAATTGCCCCATGATTTTATTTACGGCGATGGAAAAACAAAGATGGAGGCGCAAATGGCGATCTGCCCTAATTGTTACTGTTTTCTTACGTACGTTCCCGTATCCAGTTATTACGCGCAGGTTGGTAACCCTCTGTGCAAAATGTGGAGTGCTACAGGTCTCGAGCCTCTCTTTCGGGTTTATGCGGTCAGATTCTCGGGCTAGTTCGACTACGAGCAAGCGGCCATATGTGGCCCCTGGATGATCGGGGATCATTATATAACTGTGATACCTTGGCGACGTAATTTTAATCCAAAATTTGCAAGGTGGCCTCGACTATGGTTTGGGCACGGCTGCCGGGACTTCCGAGTGAATTTGTTAACAAAGAAGTTGTTAAACGCATAGCGGCAAAGATTGGTCGACCAGTACGAGTTGATCTGGCAACACAATTAGGTGATCATGGCGATTGTGCAAGGGTTTGGGTTGAGGTGGACCTCACTAAGCCTCTGCTCTCACAGTATAAGATTGAAGGGATCGCCTATTATATTGAATTCGAAGGTCTCCACCGGATATGCTCAGAGTGGGAAGTATGGTCATTCGAAAATGGCTTGTCCTAAGCTGGCACCGAAAACAGGAGTAGAGGTCCCACCAACCTCCCCACCTGAGGAACCAGTGCCACAGAGACCCCTCTATGGGGAATGGATGGTGGTGAAGCCCAGAGGAAGGAACGTGACTAGGCAGCAACATTTTGTTACAAACCAGGCAACGAACCAGTAGCCGCGAAAGCCCCCCCCCCCCCCCCCCCGCCGCAGAACCAAATGTACAGGAGTCGGCCTCACGCTTTAGTGCTATAGTAGAGGAGGAGGTGGAACTGGACCAGACTGAGACTGAGGTAAACGTGACAATACAAGAACATCACAATCAAGCACACCATGTGCCTGACAAGCAGATAGAGAAGAAGGGGACCCCAGACCCGCAAGGTGCAGCAAGGGTGACGCAGAAGGAAACAACTCACGAATCCTCAGCTGGGGTGGGGAATGGTAGAGCAGTACCTAGTGGGAATTCGAGGCCAATGATGGGATCACTTATGGAAGGAAAATCGGGTGTAACTTCACAGCAGTCAAAGAAGGAAACAATTAATAAAGCAAGCTCGATGGGGAAGGTGACTACAGAGAAAGGGAAAGGTCAGCTTAAGCAGCTGGAGGTTGGTTACAAAACAAACGGGCAACAACTGTCAGGTAACAGGAAAAGAACTGGGCCGACAACTAACTTATCTAATGGTGCGGGGAACCTATTCCCTTCAGGTGTCCAATGAGGATCCTCTCATACAACTGTCGCGGACTGGGGAATAAGCGGGCAGTTAGTTCCTTGCGAGCGCTCTTGCGGTGCTCTTCCCCCCATGTGGTTTTCCTCATGGAAACGAAGCAAACTGTAGCTGAAAACGTTGAGTTGAGGAAGTCATGTGGATTCGCTAAGGGTGAGTGTTGGCCAGCCACTATTTCGACAAGGAACAGAGCTGGTGGTGTTAGTATCTGGTGGGGGGAGGAGTTAACTATTACTTGCATGGATATCTCGAACAACTATGTGGATATTGCTATGGAGGAAGAGCTGGAGGGGAGATGGCGATTCACTGGGATTTATGGATGGTCAAATAGTGGTGAGAAATGGATGACGTGGGATCTTCTAGAAAGACTTAGACAACAGTGGGATGGGCCCTGGTTGTGTGGCGGGGACTTTAACCAAGTCTTGAAATCTGATGAAAAGAGTGGAGGGAGATGTGCTCAAGAGTCGGAGATGAGTCGTTTTGGGAAATGTCTGGTTGATACGGGACTTGAGGACTTGGGTTTCCATGGGTATCCATATACTTGGGAGAACCGACATATTAGAGGCGGTTTCATCGAAGAAAGGTTAGACCGCTTTGTGGCAAATGAAAAATGGAGACATTTATTTCCACATAATGTCGTTCAGCACTGGGACCAGGCGAATTCAGACCATCGTCCTATTACATGTGATACGCGCGGATTAGAGGATGGTGAAGTAAAGTGGGGGCAGTCTTTCCGCTTTGAACCGCTTTGGGCGAAGTATGATGATTGTATGAAAACAATAGAGATGGTGTGGGGTGGCTCTGGAAACTGCGATGTGACTTCAAAGCTCACGAATTGTCGAACTCAACTAGAGAAGTGGAGTGAGCGGACTTTCCCGCCATTCGCGAAACAGAAGGTGCGTATAACCCGTGCTTTGTGCGCCCTGGAGTGGAGACCAAAGACCGAAGAAGTCTTCATCCAATGCCGTCTTTTGGAAAGCGAAATTGGTGATGTACTGGATAATGAAGAACAGTATTGGAAAAAGAGATCTCGGGCTGATTGGCTCCAGGGGGTGATAAAAAATACTAATTTCTTTCACCGTAAAGCGTCTGTGAGGAGAAGGAGGAACACAATAAGGAGAATCAAGAACGAAGCAGGGGGATGGTGTGTGGGCCGGGAGGAAGTGTCGGACTGTATGGTAGAGTACTATAGTGGCCTATTCATGTCTGGGGAGACGCCGGAGGACTGGCCAGTCCTCGACTCTGTTTCCCGTAAGGTCTGTGACGAAGATAATGCTTGCCTTCTCAAGTCGTTCAGTCGGGAGGAAATTTTTGGAGCTTTGAAGCAGATGGGAAGCGTAAAGCCCCAGGAGCGGATGATTTCACTGTTTTCTTTTTCCGCAGGTATTGGCATGTGATTGGAGAGGAGGTTTGAGGGCAGTGCTGGAGATCCTTGAGACGGGGGTGATGCAGGCAAACCTCAACCACACTCTCATCGCCCTGATTCCAAAGACGAAGAAACCCACTTCCCCGAAGGAGTTTCGTCCCATCAGCTTGTGCAATGTTCTGTACAAGATCGCTTCTAAAGTGCTGGCCAACCGGTTGAAGCCGCTCCTTGATAAGATCATATCACCTCAGCAGAGCGCTTTTTTCCTCGGGAGGTTCATAACTGGTAATGTCATGGCGGCTTTTGAATGTTTTCATACAATGAAGAATAGCAAACATTGGAAGCATGGTTATTTTGCGGCTAAAATTGATATGGCGAAAGCCTATGACCAGGTGGAATGGAAGTTCCTGGAAGGGATGATGCGAAGGCTGAGGTTTGCGGAGGGCTGGATCAAGCTCGTTATGATGGGGGTGACGACTGTCTCGTACTCTGTGCTAGTGAATGGACATAGATCTCGTTCGTTCGTTCCTAGCAGGGGGTTACGACAGGGCGACCCATTGTCACCTTATCTTTTCCTGCTCTATGCGGAAGGATTATCGGCCTATGTAACGAAAGACATGAACGAGGGCCGGTTACATGGCCTGCAGGTGACTAGGGGAGCCTCGGTGATTACGCATATTTTTTTTTTGCTGACAACGGTATCTTTTTTGCTAGGGCAACCCAACAGGAGAGTCTAGAGCTGAGAAATATCCTTCAAGCGTACGTTAGAGAGTTGGGGCAACTTGTGAATTACTAGAAGTCAGAATTCTCCTTCGCTGTGAACGTCAAGCCGCATCACAGACTCATTGTGTGGGGCACGCTGGGAATGCAGATTGTGGAAAAGCAAGATAAATATCTGGGACTGGTTACTGAGGTTGGGCGATCCAAAAAAGAGCTTTTTGTGGGGCTGAAAGAACGGGTGAGGAAAAATTGAAGGGTGGAAGGAAAGAACCATGTCTGTTGCGGCTCGTGAGACCCTTATCAAATCCGTGGCCCAGGCACAGCTAAGTTATGCAATGTCGGTATTCAAAATCCCAAAGGGTATCCTAGACGAAATCCACAGCTTAATCACCAACTTTTGGTGGGGTCAGAAACAAAGTGAACGTCGATCGCATTGGCTACGGCGGGAAGAACTTGTCATTTCGAAGGAGGATGGGGGTATGGGCTTTCGCGACATTAAAGGCTTTAACATGGCACTGCTGGCAAAGCAGTTGTGGTCCTTAAGCCAGAGACCATCGTCCCTGATATCAAAGCTATTTCAAGCTAAGTACCATAAGCATTGCTCTATTTTGGAAGCTAATGTTGGCCCCCGACAGAGCTATATTTGGGGCAACTTGATGGGTTCCCAGGAGTTCTTATGCCGAAGGCTATGATGGAGGATTGGTAATGGATCAAGGGTGAGAATATGGGGCGATAAGTGGCTGCCGACAGGGGAGCATTCTTTCATTTCGTCGGCGCCAATGGGTCTTCCTGTGGATTCCTTTGTATGCGACCTTATCGACCCAAACACAAACCAGTGGGATACGGAGATTATCAGTCAATGCTTCCCGAATGCGATTGCGCAGACGATTTCGTCTATTCCGCTACGGGGACGCGAAGAGCAGGACCAGTTGATTTGGCATTCTAGCTCTAGTGTTATCTACAGTGTCCGTGACGGGTACCGCAGGTGGCCGGATGAGTTTAAGGTGAAGGAGCATATAGCTCAGTATGGGACTGTGGAACTTTGGCAGACGATTTGGAAACTTAATGTCCCACCGAAAGTCAGAACGTTTCTTTGGAAATTTTCTAGGGAAATTCTCCCAACAGGGGTTAAGGTCAATGCTAAAAACGAGAGATGGAGTGATGCATGCCCGTTTTGCGACCAGCCAGAAACCCAAAAACACTTTTTCGAGAATGTGCGTAGAGTAGCAAGATTTGGCGTACATCCTCCTTCAGAGAATGTTTTGAAATACAAGGGGTGGAAGACTGCTTGGAATGGGTATCTAAAGTTATGCGTGAGAAGGAAACGAAGAGTTTTGAAGGTTGGGCGATGCTTTTATGGGCATTGTGGAAGAAAGGAATGCACAACAATTCAATGGCACAAAATGGCGGGAAGATGAAATCGTGTTGCAGTCCGGACAGCTGCTTGAAGAGTACCAGTTGCATCTGCGGAGGAACGAGACGGAAGAGATGCAAGTTGAGCTAACAAAGTGGAGAAGGCCACCGGAAGGCTGGACGAAGGTCAACACGGACGCATGGATGCTGGCAGGAGGAGGAGTTGGCCTGGGTGCGGTAATTCGTGACTCTAGCGGAAGATTTATTGCGGTGGCGGTGAAGAAAGTCCGAGGGAATCATTGTGTGGATCTTGCAGAGGCGCTTGCGCCAGAATTTGGGATTCAGCTCGCTAATCGGCTTGGATGTGTTCGGATTTCCCTTGAAGTTGATTCTTTAAATCTTGTGCGCCATTTGCAGAAGGAGGATGAGGCCATCTCCGAGCTAGGAGTCATTTGTCGAAGTATTTTGCAGAAATTGAAACAGCCAGGTGGCTCGGGAGGGATTATTAGCCATGTTCGGCGGGAAACGAATAATGCGGCACATATCATGGCTCATAGTGAGTCTAGATGGGATATGCGAGAAGTTTGGTTAGATAGAGCACCAATCTTTCTCTTGGACCAGCTTCGACTGGATGATGTAACTATTGAGCTGATTTAATACATCTTACCAGGTTACCCCTCAAAAAATATCTTTTTATTTACTCAAACCTCTATTATTAATTGTTTTCATGATTTGTCAAATCACTGGTTTGGGTAAAAGCAAGGTTGTTGAACAACAATCGTTCATACTGTTCTGCCGGTTTAGCAAATGAAATGGTACGATCAGTGAAATAATCATTTTGTGTCGTTTGATGGTTTAATAAAATAAGATATTCTAAATAAAATAACAAAAAACTGGGGAGTTCTACGGTACCATGGGTTAAATCCGGGGTACCGCATACCTTAAGTAAGAAAACGCTATCTAGAACTTGAATGGACTAATCTTTCAGACATGATACTATACTCTAACCCTTAAAGATCAAAATCTAGGTCTAATTCTCTAAATCTTATACTCTAAGATCAATTTAATTAGAAACAATGATCGACGGTTATGATTCATCCAAATATAGGCAAAAAAATCAATGCACCATCTTAGGGTTTATAGTTTATGATTTAGATAATTAGGACCTAGGGTTCACTCATTAAGGGTTAGGGTATAATATCATGCCCAAAAATCCTGCTAATTCGAGATATAGATAGTGTTTTCACACACAAGGTATGCGGTATCCCGGATTTCACTTGGAGTACCGTAGAAGGCACCCAAAAAACTCGTATTTAAATACAATATTTGACGTCAATGTCTAAATGTTTATACCTTAATCCAACAAATTACATCAATTTTTAACTTTTATATACATAAAACATATAATTAATTCATTTTTATCAATCAAATTTACTAAAATGACGTCATTTTACTTAGAGTACGTAAATCGATCATGTCAATCCTATCGGTGGTGTTTATGCGGGTTTCATGAGCAGTACCAGTTGAATTAGGTTCAACTGGCCGACAACTGTCACCGGCCTGACAACATAGGTAAAAGTCACCTACAGAGTAAATGGTTTATATTTTGTTTACTTTTACGAATGCAACCTTCATCTGTTTCCATTTACTTTGCTCCTATTCCCAGCAAATATTGATAAAAAAACGTTCCAACTTAGAAACATAGTATTTGCTTTGGAAAAAAAAAGTATTAGAGTATGCTAGGCACCCATTTATGATATATAAAAAAAAATTATTAGAGTATGTCTATGATCAATTTTAAGTCCGAGTTATTCCGAGCAAATAGTTGATTTTTTTTTGAGAACGCTCAATAAGTTGACACACTTACAATCAAACTTCACCATTACAAATGATATAATTGTCGATTGCTCTTCCACAAGTCGATCGAATTCAAGAAAATAAAAACTGCTTCAAAAGGATCATTTGACTTTGTATTATGACATATTGAGGCCGATGGAGAACATAACAGTTGACCATTTCATTGAAGACGTCAATCTCTTAATTTACAAGTCGATCAAAATGTAGACAAGATACACACACCGAAAATTGAGTGCTTAGTAGATTAATAAGAACTTAGTTTTGAATAGACTAAAAGAAGTTGGATTTTCAATCGAACAATAAAAAAATTTAAAACTAAATTTTCCAATAAATAATAAAAGTTCTTATCAAAACTAAACAACAAAACTCATGCAAACAACTTATTCCCAAAAAGCTAATATTCAAACGCTCTTTAATTTACTCTTTGATGTTACCTGTTAGAAATGACTGCAAATTTCATTTTGGATTTTTTTATTGCTTCGTCATCAAAAGCATCTTCTCTAAATAGCTTCACCTTCATTAATTTCTTGATAGGGATAATATAGGTTTACATTTTTTGTGATTAAGATACTACTTAAGTGATTCGAACCTGGGACCTCCAGGTTCTAACCTTCACCTTCATTAATGAAATTTTATATGCATCATAATGATTTCCTACTAAATCTTGTTTTCCATTTATATAATTAACAAAAGTCTTCCGTTTGGCTTTTATTAATTAAAAGGACACATATATCTTTTCTAAAATTACGCAGAAGGCTCGAAATTTAGAATTAAACACCTTCCATGAACAACCTTTTTATATTAGTGTTTTTTTTCTTCCAATAAGTCACTCAATTAAGAGGAATAATATGTACAAAGTTAACGCGTACATAACCTACGAACAAAGTCGAACCTCGAGAACAAGTGAGGCGACAATAATAAGGCATGATGAGCTACCAAGTAAGCCGCCCTATTTCGAACACGTCCAACAAGCCGAACATGGTGTAATTCCGGTGTGCCCTAACCAAATGAGCAATCTCAATCAACAAAGAACCTAACTTAATGGGCTTGGGCCCAAAAATCGTTAACGGCACAATATATAATATTGGTTTAAAGTATTTACATCCAACCACATTTGATTAACTTTAGAAATTGTTGCAAAATAAACAGTATATAACACAATCCAGTTAAACTAAAGTAAATTCTGACCTTAATTTGGAGGCTACCCAACTCCTATAAATCGTCACCTAATCTCATTTTTATTAGACCTTAATTTATTAGCATATCTTTTTTCACGTTGGATAATCTTTATTTTATTATTTCAAATAACATTTACTTGGATTTTGTTCCCAACATTGGCATGGAAAATAGAGAATGTGCTCAAGTGATGGAAAAGTGAATAAGACTTTCCAAAAGTGGTATTGAAAGTTAGCAGTTAAATATGATTCCAAAATCACATAAAACTTCTCACGTTTCAATCCGTGTGGTTTAGCGATCCACCAAACTCTTACCCTTTTTACAGGATCTTCAGCATGTTGCAACCGGCCATGTTTCTGTTCAATTTCATGATTTTCTCTCATATCAAGTGCTTGATAGTTTTCCTTTCAGAGTCTGATTTGGGCTTTAATGGCACCAATCCAAACGGGCAAACAAAGAAGATACATAGTAATCCACTCCCCGTCTGGGCTATATATACCTCAATAGTTACCACTGATTTTCACCATCTCTCACATCTTTTTTTACAATACAAAGCATTTCCTTTCCTTTCAACATGACAAAAGTTACAGCTTTCACTGTGCTGGGGCTGCTGATTGCCTTGGCCGGAGTGGACGCCGGCCGGTTGCTTCATGAATCCAAGGCCGTCAATTCAGGAGCGGAGGCACAAAGCGCCTTCCCGTTCCCGCAATTCCCATTCCCACCTGGGTTCCAGCTGCCGCCGCTCCCAAATTTCCCGAGGCCTGGTTTCCAGTTTCCTCCTCTCCCCAACTTTCCAATGCCTGGTTTCCAGCTTCCTCCCCTCCCTAACTTCCCACCGGGATTCCAACTCCCTCCCCTTCCCAATTTCCCGCCTTTCCCTCCCTTGGGCGGCGGCATCTCTCCTTCCCCTCCCTCCGGCGACGGCGGCTTACCTTTTCCTCCTTCCGATGGCGGCGCCTCGCCTCCCCCTCTCTCCATTTGATAGAGACAGCAAAGCCTAATAAGCGAGGAATAATAAGGACGTACAAGCACAAGAAGAAGAAGAAGAAGAAGAAGAAGAAGAAGAAGAAGAAGAAGAAGAGCACCAACTATATATGATTACTCTGTCATTCATTCTTTGTTGTTTCATATGGTTAATCAAAATCTCATTTTATCGTTACCATTTATGCTCCAACTTAAGATGGATCACTCATCTCGTTTTGTTTCTTCCCATTGTTTGATTGTGCTAATGAAATTCCCCACATAAAGAAGAAAGCATGTACCCTTTGTGCTAAGCAATAAGGATAAAAAGAAATGTTCATAATAAATCTGCTGCATTTTTCTTTATTGATTGAGCTCTGTTTTCCTTCAACTTCATTCCTGGACCTAGTTACACGATTTAAATTATTGGTGACGAAGAAACAGAGAGGTGCCAAAAACAGAGTGGTAGATCATTGAGTCGCACAGTTCAGTGCCCTGGCTGTGAGTGGCTGCCACCAGTTTGCGGCTGGCCCTTATCATTACACGCCGGCGACGACAATGATGATGAAGAAGTCGAGGAGGAGGATGATGAAGATGGAGTAGCTGTGGGTAATCCGCCGGAATCGGGTTGGAGGCGAGGCAGGGGAACAGATGGCATGGTGGGCATGGTAGGAATGAAAGGGAAAGGTGGGAACTTTGGGATGTACGATGGCATGCTCTGATATGGGAACCCCTGTCCCGCCGCCACTCTCCCGCCGGCGGCAATGCTGTTGTCATTGTTATTGTTATTTCCTCCTGCAGCTGCAGCAGCAGGGGCACTCTCTCCGCCGCCGCTGTTGGGATTACCTCCGGTGGCGGTGCTGGAGCGCGGCGGTGGCAGCGGCAATTGAGGGAGAGCGGGTCGTTGAAAGGAAGGGAAGCTTGGGAAACGGGGATAAGGGGGAGTAATGGGGACGAAAGGGAGCTGCGTTGGGCCTCCTTCCGGCAAGGGGAAAGTGGGCTGGTTGGCGGAGATAGGGTCGATTCCATCGCCGTATTGCTGCTGGGGTTTGATGGTGGGGAGGAGTGGTTGTGGTTGAGGTCGGGAGGCAGAGCATGTTTGATGTTGGTGGCAGAGGAGGAGGAGGAGGAGCACGGTGGCTGCGGCGGAGGGAAGAGACATATTTTTTTGGATGGGGGATATTTGTTTATTGGAGGGGGGTGATTGATTTATAGGGCGGGAAAGGGGGAATTAAGTGTAGGGTTGGGGAAGGACTGTTGGGTTGAAGATGAAGGAAGGATGAGATGAGATTCATGGACGGACTACTCTGCACCTGGCTTTCTACTCCAAACCTAAATCCGGTGGCCGTGAGGATCGTGTGTCCGTGGTTGATTAATTTTAAGGGTTGGCAGTTTTAGTTACCATCTATCTAACTCATGAGATTCCGGGAAAATCATGTAGTAAGAATGAAACCGGGATTGAAAATCGAATCATATGCAACACTTGAATCAAATGCCTTCAGAGTTCAGGTATATGTATGCATATGCAATACGTACAAATATTATATTTTAGAGTAAATATAATCTATTAGCCAAACTTTTTCAACTTCACAAATTATTAATCAAATTTTTAGAAATAATTTTTTCTGTAAAATATCAAAATATTAGTTATTTGGTTGTTACCG